TAGAAGTACAATGATGTACACCTGAAATTTTTACAATGTTATAAACCAATGTTACTGCAATAAACAAAAAATTAAAAAAATAAAAAATAAAAAATAAAAAAAAAAAGAACTGGGTAAAAAAAAAGAAACAAACATACACAAAAGGCATAACTAATTCTATTTGGGGGAAAAAGAAAGAAAATGTACAAAGGTAACACCTGCGCTGGGACTATGAGGGATGAGGCAGAGTTCACCAAGCAGCAGTCGGCAGAATGAAAGCAGAAAGACCATGACAAGTGACTCAGAGACATAAAGAAACCATCTATTCAGAGAAAGGAAGAAAGTTACTATAGCTGAAGACAGTGGGTATGTAAGGAGCAGGAAGCAGAAGACTTTGTCTTATGGGCAATAGGGAAGCAAACGAACCGATTTTTTTTTATACTTTTTAAAGCTTTACTGTTTTGAAGAATAATGTTGTGTGTAAAGAATGACTGCAAGAGGGAGAAACTGGTGACAGAGAAACTAGTAAGGAAATTGTTGGTATTATTATATTAATATTAGACAGAGGGGATCTAAGGCAAAATGCATTATGAGCGATTAAGAGAATCACTACATAATAAGAACAATTCCCAGGAAGATGTGACAATTCTAAACCTGTGTGTCTCTAATAAAACGTTTGTTGTTATTTTGTTTTTCACTGAGCAGGCAGTACTTCGGCCTCTCACTCAGAAATTTCCACTTCAATAAACATGACACTCTGAAGTGAAAGTAGTTATGAGACTTATGCTAACTTTATTGGTTTCACAATCCAGAGACAAGGTTCAACTGAAGCAGCCCCACAGCCTGTTTAAGGCAGCCTGAAATATTCCAGCAAGGTGTCTTCAAAATATTTCAAACAAAAATTTTTTATTTTTTTTTATTGCGGTAACATCGGTTTATAACATTACATAAATTTCAGGTATACATTATTATTTTTCAATTTCTGTGTAGATTACATCATGTTCACCACCCAAAGACTAATTACAATCCATCACCATACACATGTGCCTAATCACCTCTTTCACCCTCCTCCCTCCCCCCTTCCCCTCTGGTAACCACCAATCCAATCTCTGTCTCTATGTGATTATTTATTGTTGTTTTTATCTTCTACTTATGGGTGAGATCATACAGTATTTGACTTTCTCCCTCTGACTTATTTCGCTCAAGGTCCATCCATGCTGTTACAAATGGCCAAGTTTTATCCTTTTTTATGGCTGAATAGTATTCCATTGTGTATATATAGCACATTTTCTTTATCCATTTGTCCTTTGATGGGCACCTAGGTTGCTTCCAAGTCTTGGCTATTGTGAATAAAGTTGCAATGAACACAGGGGTGCGTGTATCTTTACGCATTCATGTTTTCATGTTCTTTGGATAAATACCCAGCAGTGGATTAGCTGGATCATATGGTAGTTCTATCCTTAATTTTTTGAGGAATCTCCACACTGTTTTCCATAGTGGCTGCACCAGTTTGCACTCCCACCAGCAGTGTATGCGAGTTCCCTTCTCTCCACATCCTCTCCAACACGTGTTATTTCCTGTCTTGTTAATTATAGCCATTCCGATGGGAGTGAAGTGATATCTCACTGTAGTTTTTTTGTGTGTGTGTGAGGAAGATCAGCCCTGAGCTAACATCCATGCCAATCCTCCTCTTTTTTTTTTGCTGAGGAAGACTGGCCCTGGGCTAATATCCATGCCCATCTTCCTCCACTTTATATGGGATGCCGCCACAGCATGGCTTGACAAGCAGTGCATTGGTGCGCACCTGGGATCCGAACCCAGGCTGCCAGCAGCGGAGGGTGCACACTTAACCGCTTACGCCACGGGTCAGCCCCCATTGTAGTTTTAACTTGAATTTCCCTGATGGTTAATGATGTTGAACATCTTTTCATGTGCCTGTTGGCCATCTGTATATCTTCTTTGGAGAAATGTCTGTTCAGATCTTTCGCCCATTTTTTAATTGGGTTGTTAGTTTTTTTGTTATTGACATGTAGGAGTTCTTTATATATTTTGGAGATTAACTCCTTATCAGATGTATGGTTTGCAAATATCTTCCCCCAATTGTTAGGTTGTCTTTTCGTTTTGTTGATAGTTTCCTTTGCTGTGCAGAAGCTTTTTAGTTTGATGTAGTCCCATTTGTTTATTTTTTCTATTGTTTCCCTTGCCCAGTGAGACGTGGTACTTGAAAATATGCTGCTAAGACTGATGTTGAAGAGCATCCTGCTTATGTTTTCTTCTAGAAGTTTCATGGTTTCAGGTCTTACATTCAAGTCTTTAATCTATTTTGAGTTAATTTTTGTGTATGGTGTAAGATAACGGTCTACCTTCATTATTTTGCATGTGGCTGTCCAGTTTTCCCAACACCATTTATTGAAGAGACTTTCCTTTCTTCATTGTATATTCTTGGCTCCCTTGTTGAAAATCAGCTGTCCATAGATGTGAGGGTTTACTTCTGGACCCTCGATTCTGTTCCACTGATCTGTCTGTTTTTCTGCCAGTACCATGCTGCTTTGATTACTATAGCTTTGTAGTATATTTTGAAATCAGGGAGTGTGATACCTCTAGCTTTGTTCTTTTTTCCCAGTCAAACAAAAATTAACAGAACTACAAGGAGAAACAGACAAATCTGTCTATGTAGTGGGAAAGGTTAATATAACTTTTAAATTATTGATACATAAATCTACCAAATAAGGATAGAGAAAATCTGAACAACATAATTAACGAGCTTAATATAATACACACACATATATTTTTTCTATATCTGCATCCAACAGTTCTCTCTTCAAGAATTCATTCATAAAAACTGACCACAAAACAGGTCATACAGTAAGTCTCAGTAAATAATTGGTACTATATAGAAAATGTTCTCTAATTACAATGCAATTAAGTTAGAAATCAATATCAAAAATACAAGTTAAACAACATATTTGGAAATTCTAAAATAGTTCTAAATAATTCAGACCTCAAAGAA